TACCTTTTTTGACTACATTACATACAACTCTTGGTCAAATGGAACAATCATATCTATCCTTGTCGGCCCGCCTGGCTGCGTTCAAAATGATGGCATGGCCACAGCTCCTCTATTTGTTCAGGACTCTACCAATCCCACTCCCAAATAGCTACATCCACCACTTAAACCACATAAAACCATTTTTTTTTATCTGGCAGGGTAAGAAATTGAGACGCTCGCATGCTATCCTGATTAAAGGTAGAGAAGTTGGAGGGCTGGGTTATCCAGATTTAAAACACTATTATAAATCGGTGCTCCTAGACCAGCTGAAACGGTTGCTATGTACCACCACACCTAAATTGTGGCAGGAGGCGGAACAGGCTTTGGTCCCTGGGCGTAACCCGGCTCTGGTTTTTGTGGCCCATTTATTACCTAGAGCTTTGATAGCCGAACTCCCACTCTGCTTGCAAGCATCGCTGCATGCATGGAACTCTGCCTGAGGAAGTCTTTACATCGGAAGGGGCCAAGGATGTATTACTACCCTTAGAGGCCCTTGAGTTATTGACCCCCCCTCCCGACCTATCCCTTGCTGGGTGGGTTGAGTGTGGGGTCTACTCAGTACAGGACCTGTTTGAGGGTGCCTCTCTTAACCCCTTCGTGACTGACGACGTACAGTGTACGTCGCCAGCATTGGGGCTGTTTAAACAGACTCCCGGTGACTTTTGCCGCCGGGATGTTTAAACTTGTAGAGCCGACTGTCGGCTTTACAACAGAAGCGATCCTGGCGACTTACCTGTCGCCAGATCGCTTCTGCGTCCCGTAGGGGCTGCCCCTTCCCCCCCCGGGGGACACCCCCGCCGTGCTTCCCGGGCTCCGTTGCCCCTCCTACGGGTCCGGGACCGGCGATCTTGGTGTCCACGGGGAGCAGGGGAGGGGAGGGTACACATGTTGGGTATCGCCGCGCACGCTGGAGTGAGAGCAATAATTCTAGGGCCAGTATTTTGGGGTATCTCTAAATTGATGACCTGTGGGGGCTTTTAAAGCGTCTTCTATGGACTTTTTGGGGTACTGGGGTTTTTCGCCGTTTTATGGATGCACGCAATTTATAACCTGGGCATGTTGGGTATCGTTTTACACGTTGTAACCTCATCTTTTATATTTCATTAAAAAAATGGGTATTTTGTTGTGTTTTGGGGCATTTAATTAAATTTTTCACTAAATATGGGTGTTTAATAAGGAGTTGCGCTAATATTGCGCAACATAAAAATTTGCAACTACCACCATTTTATTCTATAGGGTCTTGGCATTCAGAAAATATATAATGTTGGGGGGTTTTAAGTAATTTTCAGGCCTAAAATGTGGAATATAACCTGGGTACAAAAAATGAAAAAAAGGCCTCAGTCATGAAGGGGTTAAACCATTTGATACCCTATGTAGCCAGTTTGCTTTGACATACACCCACTATTTTACATACCTTAGGTTATCAAATTTTTTAAAATCCAGTACCGTACCTAAATGTCATCTTCCTAGCCGACTATGGCTTTACTATTTTGCGGACTACCTTAAACGAGGAGACATTTCCTTGTTCTACCTTGCACTCCAGGGCAAGTGAGATTTTACGAAATGTAAATCTATCTCATACTGGGAAAGAGACTTTAATCGCTCTTTTCCTTCTGACCAATGGTCACGGGCTATATCCTCTACTCTAGGAGCCACTAAATGTGTTGACATATGGGAACTCTTTTACAAAATGTTGCTTCAATGGTATTATACGCCACAGCGATTGTCTAGAATGTTCCCTTCCTCGTCCCCTTTGTACTGGAGAGAGTGTGGCCAGATTGGGATCCTCTATCATATTATCTGGGAGTGCCAATGTCTGCAAAGCTTCTGGAGTGTGATCTTTCAGACTCTTTCCTCTGTTGTCGGAATAACACTCGTACTCTGTCCATCCAGCCTTGGCATTGTTCTCCCTGGGAATTGATCTCATCCCACCCGTGGCCAGAAATGTAATAATAAACTTCTTTTTGGCAGCTAAGTTGACTATTGTCAGACATTGGAAAAGTGCAGACCTACCATCCTCTTTAGGAAACCCTTTCGATAGTGCAATCAGTATGAGAGGATAATGTCCTTCCGAGACGACTCTACAAAACGTTTCGACAATAAATGGGGGTTGTGGGCCACCATTTGCCCCCATTGATGGGCTTTCGGGGTACGACCCTAGGACCACCTTCTATTTCTACTAATTTGGTATATCTCCACTTGGGTGTTCTTTTCTTATTTATATTGATATGCCTATGTCATTTCTTAATTGCAATATTGCATGATGTTTATTGGAACTTCTGTTGTTCTTGTTTTTTGGGGGGGTTTTTTTGTCTTCTATTATATGCTGTTTTGTTCTATATTTTCTTTGGTAACTGAAAAAACTCTCAGTAAAAATACATTGAATTATATGCAATGTACGAGATTAATGTAATGTCTTTCGTATAATAACCCCTATTGGTCACAATAGGCCCTATCCCTCCTCCCCTTCTCCTGTCCCTTACTCCCCATTTATGTGATGTTTGTTCATTTGAAAATTGTAATGTTGAAAGTTGCAACACATATGTTCCAACTTTAGACAATGTTGCACTGTATCTATGCAATTTTTCAATAAAAAAAAACTTGAATTAAAAAAATAAATTAAATTGAAAGGAAAAAAAATCTCTTTTCTGTATTGTGGACGGTGGCAGTAAGATCTTCCAGCAGATAGATTTAATTGACCTTAGAGAACCATAATCACAACGAGGGAGCCAGTGATGATTTTCTGAGCAGTGTAATGCATGCTTTTACGGCGTTAAGCAGATGAATGGACAGGGAGGATCTATATTTACGGCATGGTTGATCATATGTTAAAGAAATAGCGCTGGAAGTAGCTCCAGTTCTGGCATAACCATCTGATAATTGTCTTGCACCTCGCTCCAAAGTGTATCAGGGTAGGGCATGACCAAAAATGTGTAACATTGTACCCACAGCAGATCCACCTCTCCAGCAAGTTAAGGGAATTGCAGGATTAATCTTGTGAAGAATATGTGGGACACCGTACCAACGGGACACCATTTTGTATCCCTGTTGCTAAAATCTATTGACAATTGAGCATTTATGAGCGAAATACAGGATTGTGTCTCGTTGAGGGGAGAAGAACATCTCAAATGCACCCTCCCACCTCACAAGAAATGGAGGAATAAACTCTGAAGATGGGGTGACTAGGAGCTTGTAGACCAAAGACAGTGCATGACGAACCAGCTCCCCCCGACTGCAAATGTCCTCGAAGGCCCTCAGGGTCCTCCCAAGTTTCAGAGAGGGAGGGATAGCAAGGAGAAAATGTCTGAGCCGATAGGCACTCTAGACATTCAATAGAGGCTCAGTCATGAGCTGAAGAGACGTCACCGAGAGCCAGTGGCCATCAACATAGAAACCCCTGATTCTAACCTTAAGCGCCTGCAAAAGACCGTGTAGGCGTCTATTTTCTAAGCCAGTGGGAAAGTTGGGGTCACCTATCGCCTGGGTAAGTGAAGAAGGGAAAGTCTAAATCAAAGAGGACCAAAAGACTGTTCGCACGATGCGGAGCATGGCATCTATCAGGATGTTGAGAGCTCCGCCGGCAAGGTGCAAGATAGCCATGGGAGGCCTAACGGAGGTATTGAAGATGCTCCAGGTTCCATATGCACCCATTGTATGGCAAAACTAATTGACCACTCTATTAGGGTGTACTGCCTGATAATTGAGGGTCACATCCAGCAAGCCAATACCCCCAGTCGAGTGGGGGGGTGTTTTGGTCGGTCCCGGATCGCCTCGTACCTGATCCGGACAGGTCACAATCAGGCAGTGGCAACGGCCTCTAAACAGGCATATTGGACAGCCATTTTTTGCGAAAATACCCTCTTAAATGTAAAACTGACTGGGAATCGGATATAGGTCAAATAGCAGAGGATTGGCGGCAGCCCTTTGCTCGATTGGTATGTCTTCCCTATCCTCTCACTATTTGACACAGCTCCTTATTCTACATAGAATCTATCGCACTCCAGAGTTTATCCTTAGAATTGGTATCAGGAGTCACTCTAAATTTCCCAAATGTGGAGTTGAACCATCTTCTCTTATCCCTCTCCTATGGTGCTGCTCTAGGTTGGTGTGATATTGTAATGATGCTGTTTTTCTGGTCCAATGTCCCTGTTCTCCATTGGCTTGACTACTTGGGGCCTTTGACTCTTCTCCGTGGGATGATCTTACTATGATTGCTGTATCTAGGGCTCTGTTTGCAGCACATAGGGTAATTGCTCTCTGGTGGTTGTCTTCTATAGTCCCCTTGGTGCCCGTGTGGATGGAGGAGCTAGATCGGTTGATAGCTCTTGAAAAACGTACCTATCGGCATAGAGATAATATTTCTAAATACTATGCTATCTGGGGCAGATTGTTGAGATGCCTGTCTTCCCCTACAATTGAATTAAGTATGTTTACTCCCCACATGTCAGTATAACATATCAATATACTGTTTTTGTGAATTAAGGATCCCTTTTGTGCTTATTTCTTATAACCTTTTTTTGTTTGGATTGCTAGTGTGAAATGGTGACAGTAGCCTGGCGTGATCTGTATACCTCTGTTTTCTATGTTTTTATTGTTATTGTGTTTCTGATGGCTCCTCTATGTTGCTGTGCCTTTCGTTAGTTTTTATTGAAAGATTTTTCAGTTTTGCAAACAATCTGATTAAAAATAATAACAGAACTAAGGGTATGCAGACTTTTGAACAGGGGTTATTTCATTTTTATTTTATTATTTGCAATGTTTTGGTTTCTAATTGTGCCATTCTGTTATGACCTACTGTTGAATTTAAAATCCCATTAGAAATAAAAGGTTTTTTGCCTGCTCATTTATGTTTTCTTTAAAAATTCTCCAAGGGTATGCAAACTTGTGAGCACAACTGTATGCTATAGCTAGAGTTTTGTTTTGCTTATGAAAATTATATGGCAATTTTTTTTCTTTTTCAGGAGATTATATAATTGGAGCTGGAACTTGTGCTGATCTGCCAATCATTTTTACCAGGAAGAGTGGTCTTCTTACTATAGTTCCTCGAGAAAATGCATCGGGATTGCTAGAAGAAGTGGAAGATGCATTGTCATCATCACTGGCTGCCATCAGCAATCAGGTAAAAGGCAATCTCCCTATTCTGAGTAGAGCACATTATCTCTTGTTGAGATTTGTCTAACCTGTCTATGTAGAAAAATGAATATGCAGACCCCATTCAAGTTTACCCACATTACACACAAAAGTGAGTCAGTCTTGCCCAATGACATTATTTCCAGTTAAAATAAAAATATTGTTTTTGGACCTTATGACTGATAAAGCTGCATTGTATAAGCTGTAAATCACCTTTAACATTGTAGGACCAATCCAATTGAATTTGACTAAATAGTGCAATACATCTTTGTAGGGGTGCACCGATATATATCAGTCAGAAATGGCACTTTTGTCATAATGCCGAAAGGGCCATTTTCTGGCCAATACAGCGGTGCATCCATCCTTGCTCTCTGTGGGCTGCTCTGTGTCCCAGCGGGGATGGAGAAAAACTGTCATAATATTTCCCCGAAGCCCCTCAAAGTAAAGTAAAACATAAAAATATTTAATAAAAAATTAATGAATAAATATAAAAAAAATAAGTTTATAAAAATAAATAACATATTTTTAAAAGGTTGAAATTAAAAAAACATTTTCGGTTTCATTTCGGTTTTGACATTTCATTTCGGTGCATACTTGCATATTACCTACAAGTTTGTCTTCAAGTACGTAACAAATGCCTGTTGATCTGCCCGCTCTTTGCTCCTAATTTCTCTTGAGTCACTTCTTCCCAGTTCTCTGCTGGACTACAGAATACCTCCCTCTCTCCTCACCTGTGTAACATAAGGGTGCGTTCTGTAGTCGAGCAGGCACAAACTCAAGCAGGAAGTTAGGAACTCAGTAAATGCATGTACTTTGCAACTCCCCTAGTTGCTTTATTGACATTGATATTGTCTGACGCAATAAACCGGCTTGGTTATCAATACAGTCCCTGAACAACATATTGCCCACTCCACATGTTCTATGCACAGCCTTGTCTGGACTCACAGGAAAATGTTACAGCAAATTGGACCAGTTTATTTAGTGGTACAGTACCACCAAGAACTGAAGAGGACCTGTGACATCAGGGGAGCAAACCAAAAATCTTAGTGACATTAAAGGCTAAAGTTTTTCCTCCCCTCCCCACCCCCATAGTGCTAAAGTAAGGACTTACCTTAAATGATGCCTCTTAAGCTGATCTTCTTTCCTGTAGTTTTTAGCTGTCCCTCCAGAGCTGGTTAGGGTCCAGTGCTGACTCATCTTCGCTTCATGTCCCACCGAATCTGTGCGGTGCACGGTGCTCAATATACTTACCTTGTGTCTCTCCTCATCTCCTGGCGGGACATCTGAACCGTGCATGCACCCGCCAAAAGATCCTTTGCGGCCGCCCGAGAAATTTTTAGATGTTCGGGCGGGAGCGTGCAGCGGAGACACAGGTATTAACCCTTCCTCACTGGTGCAATAAATTATTTGCCAAAGTCACACAATAAGAAAATGGATATCACCTGAGTGTAGTCAAGGAGTATAGTATTAAAACAGATGTATTTGTGAAGTTCTAGCTTCTGGTTATTCAATGGTGTGGCATTACCTACAGCACGGAGACAAATGGACACTCCAAGTAGCGCTGTGAAATAGTGGAAAAAGTACTAGTCATGGGATGAATACAAGAAAACATTTTCAATCACCTGAAATATCCTGGAATCGTTAAACCATTTGTTAAAGAAAATCTGAGCTGTGGTAGCTGTGCCTAAGAAATGTCAAGTAAAGGGGAAAAAAATAGACACCACTATTACCTGTGGAACTTATTTCTCCACTTTTTGATGCTTGGAATGCTCTCAAGGCTACAGGGGTTTATTTAGCACTAGGCTGTATTCAGTAATGTGAAATATCTGGTCATTAGCAGGTCTTAAAATTAGGTGAATGCAACTTCAGATGAACAACAGCATATGACATATTACACTGATTATTATTATTATTTTTTTACAAACAGAGCCAAAATGGAGAAGTTATGTTTGAAAAACTAAATATACCCTTTTATGCTTCCATAGCAATTGAGGCTAAGTAGCAGCCAGGTGCTGCTAAAAACATGCCCATGATTATCAGGAGGTGTGACCACCTCTATTAAAGCCTGAAGTTATAGCAGTTTGCTGGTCTGGAGCATTCACCTGTGTATTAACACAATGCCAAGGAGGCAAGACATGAGCAATTATCTTAGAGAAGCAATTGTTGCTTCCCATCAATCTGGGAAGGGTTACAAGGCCATTTTCAAACAATTTAAAATTCATTATTGTACAGTGAGGAAAATTATTTACAATTAAACATTCAAAACAGTTGCCAATCTTTCCAGGAGTGGATGTCCCAGCAAATTCACCCAAAGGTCAGGCCGTGCAATGTTGAGAGAAATTGTGGAAAAAAAACAAAAGGCCAAAATATATATCTTCAACTCTACAGGTCTCAGTCTGCATGTTAAATATTAAAGTTCATGACCGTACAATTAGAAAAAAAAATTACATCTTAAGAAACCACAAGACTTCTGGAACAATATACGTTGGGCTGATAAGACCAACGCGGATATATTTGGGTGAAAACCAAACACAGCTTATCAACACAAACACCTCATACAAACTGTCAAGCACGGTGGTGGAGGGGTGATGATTTGGGCTTGTTTTGCAGCCACAGGACCTGGGCACCTTGCAGTCATTGTATCGACCATGAACTCCTCTGTATATCAAGGTATTCTAGAGTCAAATGTGAGGCTTAATGTCTCGGAGCTAAAGTTTGGTTGAAATTGGGTCACGCAACAGGACAATAATTCCAAGCACACCAGCAAATCTACAACAAAATGGCTGAAAAATAAAAGAATTGAGGTGTTGCAATTGCCCAGTCAAAGTTCAGATCTTAACCTGATTGAAATGTTGTGGTGGGACAGTAAGAGAGCTGTGCAAAACAAATGCCCACAAACCTCAATGAAATAAAACAACCTTTAAAAGAATAGTGGGCCAAAATTCCTCCACAGTGATGTGAGAGGCTGCTAATAGTGGTTCTGCAAGCATTTAAATCATAAGGTGTTCTTTTGGCTATGTTTGTTTTATGTTTGTAAAATTAACATGAACACAGTGTAATATGTCATGTGTTGTTCACCGTGAGGTGATATTTACCTAATTTTTAAGACCTACTAAGAACAGGTGATGTTTGTCATGTCCATAGAATTCAGAGAGGTTACACTCTTTTCACGCCACTTTGTATGTTTTTGTTTTTTGTGTTTTTTTATGGAGGCCAGACTGACTTTAAAAAACTTTTTTTAACTTTATTTTTTATATTCCCTTGCTCTTTAGTGGTATCCAAACCGCTAGCCCCACCCCCTCTAGCTAGCCAGCTGCTGTGGAGGCACCCATGCGTGCACGCTTACAGCCGTGCCCTCAGCTAGCCTCAGATAGACACACACAACGTGCGACCAGCCACGCCCCCCACCCTTGCAGTCACAAGTTGACTGTTAGCAGGAGGACCCTACGTCTCCTCTGCCCTCAGTACCCTTCCCCACGACCAGGAAGTTGAGGAAATTCCAAGTATCGCCCTGTTTGTGGCAGAGGATACAAGTGGCTACAGGAAAGTTTGGGGGGGGACAGAGGTTAAAAAAAAAAAAACAGGAGTCCTCCAGAGAACAGATCACTCATTAAATAACCCCTTTAGGATATAGCTGCCCATCCGCCCGGTCTGTAACCAAACAAAACTACAAAAAACAGTATTGTTAGCAACTGCAAGGATTGCCAACCATAGAGGTTACTTAGAAGACCAGGACAGACATAGGAAATAACGAAAAAGTATATTCCAACAAAGTTAATACAATGAACGATCAACATTATGCAACTTGCCACATTTTCATTAAAAAGTGTTGACAATGTTGTCCGCCACATAATCACACTCGCATTCATTTGGATGGGCCCCACACATTAATCAAAATGGTTACAGCTGTGATTGACTAGATCAGGGCACAACATTTCAAGTCCTAAGCTACTAGCCAGACCTTAAAAGTTACTCGCCACCAGTTGCCCCACCTTACCCCTACCCTGCCCCGGCCTTAACTCCGCCAGGTCAGCGGTGTGACGCAGAGTACAAAGATCAGTAACAACGCCAGTACAGAAGTCAGTGGTGCAATGCAGAATACAGAGGCCAGCTGTGTGAAGCACAGTGCACCGGTTCAGCAATGTGACGCACAGAGGTCAGGGTGTGACACACATTGCAGAGGTCAGTACACAGTACAGAGATCAGTATGTAATGCAGTGCAGAGGTCACCAAGAAAGTACAGTGACTTACAGATACTTTTGACCTCTTCTTCTGATGATGGTGGGGGGAGCAGCGAGGTTTCCTACACGTCCAGCCGGCTCCAGGTGCTCTCTCTCCTGCGCAGCAGAAGCCGGCCAACTGCAGTTCGGCATTCTTCCTCTCCCACCAATGGCAGCTGAGGTGGGCCGAGGAAACTGCTGTGGCTGCCAAGGAGCCCAATCGAAGCGTGCACAGTCCATGGCAGTCCAGCTTCTTGTTCTCTTCTCCCCGCCACCACAGTCTTAAAGTCAGAGCAGAACACTCAGTTTGTCAGTCGCTTGCGGTCATATTGAGTGGGGCAGTAAGATTAATAAAGTGCTGGATTAGTCTGACCCAGGGGCAGACTGGGCCCGGAGGCAGGGTGGCAATTTGCCCCATGCCTCTCTGATACCTTTGCAAACACCCCCCACTGCCGCCGTAAGCATTTAATCTCTCCCCTCTTGGTCGCTCTGCTGCTGCAGTGGCCGAGAGGGGAGAGATGAAGTGCTTGGGGGGGGGGCGTTTGCAAAGGTATCAGAGAGGCCCGGGGGGCAATTGCCATCCTGCCCCCGGGCTTAGTCCGCCCCTGGGTCAGACTAATCCAGCACGTTATTAATATGAGTGCCCCACTCAATATGGCTGCAAGCGACGGGCAAACTGAGTGGGGCAACTCAGATTATTAACGTCCAAAAGATGTGGACTGGGAGGGGGGGCCTCTTTAAGACTGCTCTGAACACACTGCTGAGCAATCCCTCCCTCTTCTCCCGGTCGCTGCAGCTTCAGCTCCACGAATGGAGACTCAGAGAGGCAGCTCTGATCGCAGCTGTCAGTGCTCCCTCTCTCTCCTCCCAACCGCTGCAGCTTCAGAGCGGCTGAAAGGAGAGAGAGGAGGCGATAACTGGTGCGATCAGAGCCCCCTCTCTGAGTGCCCGCTTCGTGGAGCTGAAGTTGCAGCGGCCAGGAGGAGAGAGAGCGCAGAGAGCTAGTGCCGGCTCTGGATGGGACACTACCGCCGCAGTGATCGTTCGCTTCAGTTCTTCTCCTTCTCGGCCGCCCTGTAGCTGCAGCAGCCCATAAAGAGATGAGAGAACAGAAGCGAGCGATCACCGCGGCGGTAGTGTCCCATCCCTGGTCCCGCCAGCGGTGCACCCCCTCGCTGACATTCCACTCGCCCCCCGCAATTTTCACTCGCCAATTGCGACGGGGCGAGTGGAAATTTTGAGGCCTTAGCAAGGGTATTTTCAAGCATTTGGAACGAAATCCAAAGTGAAAACAGCAACAAGTGAATTATCTAATATGTAAGTACTTCCGAAATCTTTTGCAATTTCAGAATCCCATGCAACAAACTCCTCTTTAACAAAAAGATGTTAACCTTTAACCATTCACACCAAGTGTTACTTGGTTAGTCAACAATATTGATTGCTGATACAATCCAAATCTCAAAGTGAATGGCTAGACAGAGAACCTGTGAACAGGTGTTTTTCCAACCGCTTAGGAGCTGTGGATATTGAATATAGATCGATCAGTCCCAGATATCCCCTCCCCCCTCTCTCTCCTCCCCCCTCTCCCTCCCCCCTCCCTCTCTCTCTATCTCCCTCTGTAATACAAAACAAGCTTGGAAAGCGCAGAGGGAAAGGGAAAAAGGAGATAAAACCCCAACGAACTACAGAGAGTGAAAAGAATGAGGTAGAAAAAAAGGCTTGGGAGAGATCAATCTCTTGGCAGTCCCCATGAAGTCTGCCCAACCAATAGTGTTTGACCCTCCAATGATTCAATGAATTCTAACCAATAGTACCACATTTTAAAGTACCTTGTGTGCCTTTTTTGGGACGAGAGAGCTAAGTCTTCCATCTTTCTGATCCCTTCAACCCTATGTATCCACACAGATGTAGAAGGGTGGAAGAAGTCCCCCAAAGGCTGGGGATACAGGATTTAGCTGCATCTAGGAGATGCCGAACTACCGAATGCGAGTAAATGTTCCTGGTCATATAGGTATTATGCAGTAAGAAAAATGATGGATCCTCCGGAAGATTGAAGTCCATAAATTTCCGGGTGATAGAACAGACGGAAGACCAAAAGTGTGATAGAATCGGGGAGGTCCAGAAAATATGCAGGCAGTAGGATGCCAACTTCCGAGTTATATCTCCAGCAAATATTTGTGACCCCAGGGTAAAGTCTGTTCAAGAGCACTGGCTTCTTCCGATAACATCTACTAAGAAGTTTATAGGTAGTCTCCTGGTGTTTTGTGCAAATGATGATCTCATGGTGAAATAAGTATTTTGGCATTGTTCATCTCTAAAAGATGTTTTAAGATCTCGTTCCCAGTTAGTAATGAAATAGGCTCTTATTATTTGTAAGAGTGGATAAAATAGTATAAATACTAGAAAGAGTATGCCTGGTGGAACCTTGAGTCACATAAACATTCCAAAGGAGACAACTAATGTTGACAATCCTTAGCAGGTGGCAACATTAGAAAGAAGTGTTGCAAGTGAAATGCCTTCCAAAAGTCAAGTTTTAAAATACCCTCTGGATCAGTCATTAAAAGGCCAGGAGTCCCGAGATGTCCGAGGACTGGGTAAAGTGGAGATTGCTCATGGACAAGTTTACATTGTGAAAAAGCTGTAGCACACACAGAAAGTGTGGTGCCCATCAGGGGATAATTCTTAAGAGACGGGGGGACAGAAGAAAAACACCACTGTGATCTGGAGCAGAGGATAGGCAAAATACATCTAGTTTGCCTATCCTTCTCCTCTCTGGAGCCCATTGTTTAAAGGGAGCATGTCTACACCAGACTATCAGTCTAACTAAGTGGCCTGCAGCAAAGTATCTTAAGAGATCAGGAAGGGACAATCTCCCATAGATGATGGATTTTAAATTGTTTGACTTTAAATTGATGGTCAGCAACAAATATCATTGTTGATATTGTGCCTCCCTGACAATGTGTTAACACATACCTGAATGCTTCAGACCAGCAAACTGCTAAAATGTCAGCTTTTTTTTACATGTGGTCATACTTGCTGCTGATCAATTAATCAAGGACATTTGATTAGCAGCACCTGGCTGCTACTTAGCCTCCTAAATCCTATGGAAGCAGTAAGAGTGTACTTTGTTACGCATAACTTATCCGTTTTTGCTTTATGCTTGTAAAATAAAAAAAAACAGTGTAATATGTCATGTGTTGTTCATTAACTAATTTTAAGAACTTCTAAGGACCAGATGATTTTTTTATGTGTTGATAGGCACATAGTTTAGAGGGTGTACTTGTGTTTTGTTTTTTTGTTTTTTTTTTCTTACACACGTAGTCATGTGAAAAACAACATAAACCCTTTTTTGATCCTATGGCATATATGTCTCATATGTTGTTTAATTTTACTATTGTTTGCATTTGTGTATAGGAAGAAGGGAGGCAAAAAGAGTTGTGGCACGAGAGCCTCATTTACTCACCTGGGGCTATTTCATTTTTTCATCAACACTTGAGAACACAACATCTGGAGCAGCTGTGCATGGCAACCAATCTGCTTCTCTCTCCAGTTTGCTCAGTTAAGATTTGAAAATGAAAAAGAGAAGCTGATTGGTTGCCATGCATGGCTGCTCCAGATTTTGTCTGCTCCAATTTTGAGATATTCCCCTCACTGTATATCCAATATGTATCATATTTGCACATTGTTTATAGCAGGGCTCAAAATTTCAAGTCCTGAGCTACTAGCCAGGCCTTAAGAGTTACTCGCCACCAGTCGCCCCACCTGACCCCTACCGTGCCCCGCCCTTAACTCCGCTAGGTCAGTGGTGTGACACAGAGAACAGAGATCAGTAACAATGCAGAGTGCAGAGGCCAGTGGTGTGATGCAGAGTACAGAGGCCAGCAGTGTAATGCAGAAAAAAGCAATGACTCTTCTCCAACAAAGGTTGCACTGATGGAAAAGGAAGAAACAATTCATCAAGATAAGACAAAGTTGCTGAAGGCTGCCTTTTTGCAATATTGCAGGTACTGTCATATGTATTAATTTTTTTACTCTTAATGTGAAAAATTCCTAAAGTACAAAGTGAACCTTTAGTGTAAGGCCCGGTTCACACCTGGGCGTTTTGTAGCGCGTTCCTACGCTCTGCAAAACGCTCAAACACGAAATCCCATTATTTCCTATAGGTATGGTTCACACCTGGGCGTATTACAGGCCTTATGAACGCGCTACAAAACGCCCTACACCCAAAGAAGTACAGGAGCTTCTTTTTGGCCTATGTGTCGCGTGTATCTATTGGGATACAGCCAGGTAGCCCTCTGAAACGCGCGTTTGTCGTGTGGTTTTTTTTAACCACTAAACGTGCGACAAACGCGCATATTCGACACGCCTAGGTGTGAACCCAGCCTTAAACCCTGTCTAAGGTTTGTTTTTGTTTTATTGTTTTTTTTTTTTTACTATCATCATTAGTTCTAGTGACTACTAAAAGGATTTCTCCTCGCTCACTAAAGTTGCGACTTTACATACACTTTTTAAGCACAGCACACATGTTTGATTATACAATATCTATAGATCTACCTACAACTGTGCAGTACAAGAGCCTGCCTGGTCTGATACAAATTTAATGGCTAATTAAAGTAGGTCCTTGTATTAGGTTTTGTTAAATTTAAAGGTGATTTTAGAAAGATTGTACAGTTAGTCTGCAAAATGTGCTGGTGGCATTTCTTCAATTGATACCTGTAACCAGTGGTGCCATCCACAGTCACTACAAGCACCCTCACCTGTCTGGGCATCCGCTAAGAAGTGCAACAAGTTTATTTCTATATTCTGAACTTGGCATCTACTTGTTCTGCACCCCCAGTCTATTTTGTTGCATAACCCTTAATAGGACTTTATTATGGACTATTTCGGAAGCAATCCAAGGGCTTTAAAGCTCGGGTTGAACGGAACATTATTACCCATGGAGTTCGAGACTGGAGCAATCTCATCAACACAAAGCAGTAGTGGGCTTTCTTACACCGCGGATGAGGTGGAAGCCATTCTTTTCCCATCGAATACCACTAAGGCATTTGGGACAGATACTCCAATTAACCTATGCAGAGAGATCAAGCGACTAAAGAAGAAGAAACCAGACCTTGAATTGCATGGACAGACATTGTCTGGATATTACAGAACAAAAAGGATACCGAGAGGCATCAGGATCACTAACCAACCAACAATTGGAAGGAACAAACACAAATTTTGTGAATGTTGGTGCGAGGTTGCCACCCAGAATTCATTAAACTTCATGCTATTAGTGATCGAGGAAGTGAAAATACAGCTCTGCCAAGCAAATAGAGAGTTATCAGCCTTGGAGGCTACTATCTAAGAGAGATATACCAATAAAGACTCTCTGGCAAGTGATCTGGATAGAATCGAGAAAGAAGTGACATCATACACGGACAGACACGTCAGATAAAACAAGATAAATTATGCCTTGTAAACCTTGACTACCAAGAAGGGCGTGTTTACCCCTAGAAGTGACATGCCTACAGAAAACCCATCAACTGAAAGTGATTCCAGCCTCCCTGAGGGATCGGCTACTAAACAAAGAGATCCGAGATTCCCTTTATCATAGGTACCAGACAAAGACGATCCAGGAGGGGACACACAATCAAAAAGCTTTGATACTAGATCGAACACAGGGTGTCCCCCATGGAAAGCCCAGTGATCAATCTATCCTCAAGATTGGTCACGGAGAGCAAGTGCCACCTCCTCTCTAGAGGTCTATCGTTCTGTCCTACGGCTCGCTTTGACCCTTTTTGTTTCAAAGTTGAAATGTTTAAATTTGAAAGATCGGGGCGTGGCCTGGACATGGCGCCGAGTAGCAGCTAAATTCCTGAGCCCTGCAGACCCAGGGTATATTTTGCAGTGTATCTTCCTCCCTCCCGCCCCATCGCCCCATGAAGCGTACCGGGAAGGCACCGAAGACACCCCGTGCCCATACGAACCAGAAAAAACAATCCCGGATGGAGGCGTACGTATCTCCCCAGGACTCAAGGCCTCAGCCGTGGGAGCGGCCTGGGGCGCCCGCGTACTCCACCCCGACGAGACGTACCCAAGCCTCTCCACACCATGACGCCTCCGGGTTCTTGGACGAGGAGACACTTCCGCTCCACCCGGCTTCCCCGGCCTTCTCACCTGCTCTGGGATCAGATGGGCCCTCACCGCGAGCACGGACGTCCGCTAGGCCGCTCGGGCCTAGGTGTAGACCCGGAGCTCCGGTCTCTCCTGGCGGCACTACCGACGCGCGCCGACATGCAGGGGATGATAGACCAGCTGGCATCTTCCCTCGGATCAGACTTGGCGGAGGTACGTGCGGGGTTGGAACAACATGAGAGGAGACTGGAGGTGCTAGAGGATACGGACCGCGCCCTGGAGAGCAAGGTGACCCGCTTGGAAGACTCCATCTTAAGTCAGCAGTCTCATATGGCCCAGATGCAGCTGCGGCTGGAAGATTCAGAAATCCGTAACCGCCGCAACAACCTGCGGTTGCAGGGAATCCCAGAGGCCACAGGGGGTCCAGAGCTGAGAGGGGCGGTCACAGCCATCTTTAATTCATTATTAGACAGAGCAGATTGAGCTGGATCGAGTTCACAGGTCCTTGGGCCCTATGGGGGCTGACGCTAACAGACCCAGAGACGTATTGTGTAGAATACACTTCTTTAACATCAAAGAGGAGATACTGTGAAGAACATGGAGACAGGGGACGGTGGATTTTGACGGAGCGGAAGTCCTGATCCTTCCTGACGTATGCCCACAGACCCTATACCGCAGACGTCTTTTGAAACCTCTCACTGACCTGCTGCAATCTAAAGGGATTACCTACAGGTGGGGATTCCCATTCTCACTGTTAATTGGCAGAGGGGACCACTTCAGGCTGGTTCACCCTCGCCAGGTTCCAGATTTGACCGCCTTTTTGGAATGCGAAGACCTGATGCTGCCGGACTGGCTGGAGGTTCCTTCCTTGGATCCGACCTCATCCACCATACCTGGGAGGCCCCTGGGGCGTCGCAGAAGACGTCAGAGGTCTGCAACACGACCATCTCGGAGAGCTCGACCCATGGACCCAGAGACCTGAATCATACCCGCTGACGTGCCAATCACCAGATCTACGCGGAATCGTTCTGTCCCCCGGATTTGATTTGACCTTGTTCTTCTCCTGTGGACTCGCCTTGATGACTGCCGACACGAATCTCAAGAATATATATCCCCAAGTTGAGTCCTTGCTCACCCTGACTGCAGAGGACCTCCCTTAACTTTGCACATAGGGCCGGTACATACTGATACCTTTTTGTTTACAGTGTGACACATTGTCCTTAACAACTGCAGTGGTTTGGCTTGACCACGGAGATCGTTTAACGGTATGACAGGATTGGGTTGTGTGGCCTGGGAAACACCCTGATTGACTGCATGACCTCCCCTTTAGTGGGGCGGTTCTCCAGGCCAGGCGACACATCATCATTGAGTTATAGTTATTTCATGCATGTCTTCTCACTTGATTGATCGGCAGTTTTGAGACGAGTTAAGTTCTAGTACAGGCCCGGGGGGCTTTCTAGGGCCTTCAGGTAATGCCTCTGTAACCCCTGAGTTGGTTGACTCTCTGGTTCCGGGGTACTCAGGGTTGGGGCGGGTCATAGCTTACACATAGCTAATCTTGCCACAACCTACCCACCCTGGGATGCATCTCTACGTGTCGCTGTGTTCTTGATCCTCCAGTTTTAACATCAGTTGGGAATTGTCGTCCCGGAGCTGATCCAGTTCCTTATGATAATCCATGGCGGCAGTGGTTACATCCATGCGGGCCTCCAGGTCTGCCGTGCGTTTTCCCAGCTCCCGGATTTCCCGTGTCACCTTATCGGTGATCTGTTTAGAGGTGGTCTGTAATGCTTTCTTGGAGGTTGCGTGCGCCAGTGCCTCCTTGACGGACCGGAGCCGCGAGTGGGAGCCCGACGCCGACATGGGTAGGTGCCGCTCAGTATCTGGTACTCACTGCGGATGTTTTTAGGGTGTCAGCTACCGCGATGTGTACGGTATGTCCGTTACGGTCTCGGCGGGGTGCAGAGCGAGGTTAAGCTGCGGCCATCTTGTCTCGCCGCGCGCATGCGCCCCCCGTGTCGCTGTGTTCAAGCTACTCCCCCGTTGTGAGTGTTTCCTCTCCTACACGGAGCTATACCATAGGTACACTCTTGTTTAGTGTGTGTGCACTTTCCCCACACGGTGGTCAGAAATATTCTCACCTCCGTGTGTTTCCAATCTCTTGTTTGTCTCTGTCTTCCCCTCTCCTCCAGGTGTTGGTCTGCCCGTTACCTTGGATAACCGTCGGCTGGGTCCGCTGTCTCTCTCTGGAGTCATCCGTCACCGAGCCCCGGAAGAGTAACACGAGGTGTCGTACTCCTGTCATTTATTTATCTGTTTAGATTAAAGTATAGCATTTGCAATGCCTGAACTTAGACTCACTTTGTTCAATGTGCGTGGCCTTCATGTCCCTAAAAAGAGGTCATGTTTATTGAACGAACTGTGGCGCTCCAGGACCCATGTGGCGTTCTTACAGGAGACCCATTTTAAGAGCGGACACATCCCCAGACTGGGCAATAGTCGATACCCCACTGCCTACCATGCCCCCTCCCCGGACTCCAAATCTAAGGGGGTTAGTATAGTGATGGCGCAATCGATCCCATGGACGTACGTTGACCACTATGCAGATCCGGAGGGACGTGTGCTGTTCCTTAAGGGGGACCTTCATGGCCACAGGGTGACCTTGGTGGCAGTCTATGCTCCAAACACTGGACAGGTGACCTTTTTGGACTCTTTATGGCCCCAACTCCTCACATTTGCTGAGGGACTTTGGGTGGTGGGAGGCGATTTTAATATGGTGCTAGATCCATCCATGGACTCTTCCAAGGGAATATCCCACATTACGCATGCACAATGTAGACGGGTTAAACGGACTCTGTTTGACCTTCAGTTGATCGATCCGTGACCCTAC